ATACACAGAAGATTGCCATGAAAGGCAAGAATGTGAGTTGGAAGGCAGTTGAGAATTTAATAGTTAGTGCCTTGGCTGCACACTTTAAATGTCTCCTTTCCCTTCTGAAATGATCTCAGTCATCACAGGAAGAAGTTCCAGATGAATTAGAGATGAAAGTGTAAATCAACTATTTAAAAAAATTGGAGAATATATTCATGTGTATGTGTGTGTGTTGTTGTTTTCATGGTTTTGGTGATGGAATATTGGAGTAAAGAATACTTTGTTAAATTCTGCTTATCAGCCTGCTTAAAGGCTAATAAATGTGAGTACTTCAGAATTTGAAACCTCTGTATGACAAAGAGACCATAAACAAAGTTAACAGATATGTGACATGTGGGAGAAAATATCGGGAATTTATGTTAGAGACAAAGGATTAACATCCAGAATGTGATAGAGAATAATCTCCCTCTATTTCTTCTTTTCAGTAGTAACAACGTTCCAAATATTAGCGGAACACACGGCAGCACAGCCAGACACTACATTTCCCAGCTCCCCTTGCAGCCAGGTATGGCCATGTGACTATGTTCTGGCAATGGGACCCAAGCCAGAAAGGCTAAGTGCAACTTTCAAGTTCCATTCTTACAAGGAAATGGCCTTTCATTGCCTTCTTTCCCCTTTCTCAGGGGTTGGAAGGTGGTGACCTTGGGGTAAGGACAACACCCTAGTGCTGTGGCTCCAAACCGTGCACAAAGCACCCTGGGGTGCCACAGTGAACTCACAGGGATGCTGTGGGATATCTGAAAATTTTGAGGAAACAAAGCAATATTTATGTTGTATATGAAATGCTAGCTTGAGCTAGTTCACATTTTTAACATCAGATTGCTGAATTCCTGACGTCGCATCTTTGCAAAGATGGATTTAGAAAGCAAGTGCCACTGGAATATCTATGTGGAACAGGAAATGAGAATGGTGGTTTCCAATCTGATTATAAAGTTTGATAAACTGCACAGTGTGCAGGGGGCACTCAGTTGTTTGGACACAAATACTTATGGAGGTGTTTAGAGCTAATTAATAGATGGGATTTTCAGATATTTCTTTTCGCCTAGGAGCTCTGTGAAAAAAGTTCTAAGTCACTTAAGGATACTGTGACGAGGGAAAGTTTGGGAATTTTTGCTTAGTGGTGGAGCTAGATAGGAAAAATCTGGGTCCTTGTGTGATCTCGTGGCTCCCCCGGAGCAGAAATGCCTACCACTCCTGGACTGTCCACCTACCACTGGACCATTGCATGTGAAAGAAACTTCTTTCCTATTAAAGCCATTGTGTTTGGGGGCCTCTCTGTTACAAGAGCATAGCAGACATTGTGGGTGCCCTGCCTATATCCCCAGAGCCCACGTGAGGTCCCCTGCAGAGGGTTCCTGTACATGCTGATGGCTTCCTGGGTCTGCCCGAGGGTATTCTCTGTACTTGGGCTGGGCTGGCCTCTGTGTGGACAGGCCAGAAGGACCAGGGAGTTACCGCCCCTGGAGTGGCTGGGTAGATACCCCAGCTGCTTTGCTCCTCAGTGGAAGAATTCTGAGGCATTTCTGTGGAGCCTCTCAGAGGATCCCCCTTGGGGCTGAGCCCCAGATGCCCACCGCGACTCATCAACATCAGCTTTCTTGGCCTTCCACTCTTCTCTCTCACTTCCGCCATCCCTCACAGTGTCTCCCGGGAACATCCTCCAAAATGAACTACTTATACCAAATCCTTGTCTTGGGGTTTGCTTTTGGGGGGAACCTAAACAAAGAGAAGCGCCTTAGCTTATACTCTAACAAATACAGAAAATATGTAAATAAGTACCGCAAAGCAACGAGAAAATGGTAGAGACTCAAATAAAAGTGATGAAGGATAATGGTGAGCAATTCACAATAGAGGGAAGACAACTGACCAAAAAACACGTCAGTATAAGATAAACAGCATCACTGGAATCTGGCCAGTTGTCATTACGACAGCCCAGCACAGTAATTAAGAACACTGACTGATTCTTGAGCCCAATCGTCTGAGTTTGAATGGTGGCTCTAATGCTTTCTAGCTCTATTTAACTTTGCTATGCCTCTGTTTCCTCATCTATAAAAATGGTATCGTAATAATAATACTCATGTCACAGAGTTACTATAAAGATTGTGACAATTATTAAAAATTTGAATGTGCTTAGAACAGTACCTGGAATACAGGAAGCACTATATAAGTGTTTATTGAGCCAATAAATAAATAAAATGCCATTTCACCCATCAGAATAGTAAATATTAAAGGAACTGATCTATTAAATATTGACAAGGGTTTGGAGAAACAGGCTCTTTCGCATATTTGTAGCTGAAGAGGACTTTAATAGCATTTACTAAAAGGACAAATGCCTGTATATTCTTTTTTTTTTTTTGAGGAAGATTAGCCTGAGCTAACTACTGCCAGTCCTCCTCTTTTTTGCTGAGGAAGACTGGCCCTGAGCTAACATCGTGCCCATCTTCCTCTACTTTACACGTGGGACGCCTACCACAGCATGGTGTGCCAAGCAGTGCCATGTCTGCACCCAGGATCCGAACCGGCAAACCCCGGGCCGCCGAGAATCGGAACGTGCGAACTCAACTGCTGTGCCAGCGGGCCAGCGCCCAGCCTGTATATTCTTTGGCCCAGAAATTCTACTTCCTGTAGCTGCCCTAGAAAAATACACCTAACTATATGTGATGACGCTCATGCAGGTATTCCCACTGCAACACTGTTTGTAACAGCAAAAACTGAAATTAACCCAAATCTTTAGTAATAGAACAGTTCTATTAGAGGTTGCAAACTGGTGGTCCTTGGGCTAAATCTGTCCGGAAGGTATGTTGTCCTTAGCTGAACAGTATTTTAAATCTTGAACCAGTTGCCAACATTAAAACATTAGGAGATTTATGTTATAAAAATCTAGATTTTCAAATACTCTGAAAATACTGGAATTCAAGTTAACAACCCTTTGGTCTGTGTAAATAGCTACGTCTGCTTAGAATGAGACACACATGCTCCACTTTGTCACTTCACTGATTAGTTACCCACACAGCCCTGTAGGCACTGGAGTTTGGGACCCTGGCAGATGAGTTATGGCTCAGCTAAGTAATGAAATGTGGACAGTGAGGAAAATACAACATGGCACATATATACATGGTGGTGTGGAAAGATCATCAAGACAGATTCTTGCCGTTTTTCTAAAAATTTTTTTGAGGAAGATTAGCCCTGAGCTAACATCTACCGCCAATCCTCCTCTTTTTTGCTGAGGAAGACTGGCCCTGAGCTAACTTCTGTGCCTATCTTCCTCTATTTTATATGTGGGATGCCTGCCACGGCATGGCTTGACAAGTGGTGCATAGGTCCACACCTGGGATCTGAACCGGCAAACCCCAGGCCTCGGAAGCAGAACGTGGGAACTTAACTGCTGTGCCACTGGGCTGGCCCGAAGATTGTTGAGTGGGGAAAAAAAAAAAAAAAGCAAGGTGGAGAACCATCATGTCTAAGATGATGCCACTTCTGAAAATAACAACAAATTATATATCTGTGTATATATACACTAGAATGTAAACTATAAAGTTCAGGGACTTTTCTCTGTCTTAGTGCTATGTTCTCAATGCTTAGAATAGTGCCTGGCATATATTGTGTACTCAATTCATATTTGTTGAATAAATATGTATGTAAATGTATAAAAGAGTTTTGGAGAATACACACTAAATAAGTGATTAATTCTGTCAAGGGCCTGGGATTGGGAGGGGTGGTGATCAAGGGACATTTTTGGTTTTGTCTTGTATAGTTTGACTTTTTTACAAGGAGAAGAGAATATTGCACGACTTGCAGAAATTTTTTAAAAATCGAAGAAAGGCAAGCCAGCACAAAATACCAGAGGTGATCAAACCGAAATTCAAAGTTAGTCTCAACTGAAACCCATCTAAGAAAAATGAATGGGGATAAAAATAAAGTTCTGTGATTATGAGCAAAAAAAGCTAACTCCAAATACTTCACCACCAGCTCAGAACTAACCAGCAGGGTCATGAGTCAGCTGGAGACGCTGATGAAATCCAGCCCAGTCTGGGTATCCATCCATAGTCGCCGTCTTCCCTGGTGGCATTGCATCCTCTGATTTTTGTTTTACAATTTTGTGTCCATAAGTTCATGAAGGCCTTGCACACAATGTATCAGGAGAAAGTGCCCAGCTTGATAAGTTTTTAAAAAAGGAAAAAGAACAGGAATCAAGGAACTAGGGTAGCTAGCAAAGACAGGAAAAAAGAAGCGCTTTAAGGCCAGTGTTTGGAGATCAGACATCTCTCAGAGGGAGGATAGGCCTGGCTCAGGTACAGACAGGTTTTCAGAGGCATCCAGAATAGACCGGTCTCAGCGGATTCCGAGGCGTTCAGAGCAAAGAAACGGCCCACAGGGGACTTCTCAAAGCTATGTTCGGAAACAGCTCTTCTCACCCCAGGTTCAACTATCATTAAACAGCCTTCCTTCTTATCCTCCAGGTTTGTCGTCAATCAACTGTCACTGCGCCCAGGGGGAGGACGTTCAGAGCTATTCCGAGACAGCAGGACCAAAGACACTCGAACGGTTCGGACAGATCCCAACGGTGTAGTGGGCAGAAAGCCAAGCAAACTCTGTCCACTGCGAAGACACAGCGCACGAGCCCCTAAGTGTCCCCGCCCCGGGCCGCCCGGGCCCCCGGCCGGCTGGGAGCTGGGCGCTGGCCGGGCTCGACCCGGGCCGCTGGACAGCTGGGCAGCTGGGGCCGCTTCCCAACACTGCCGTTCTCGCCCGCCCAGGCCTGGGATGGTCTTTCTGGAAAGTTTCTCGCAAGAGCGCTCTGAAGTGCCACCTGCCAGGGGTCAGACCAGACCACGCGCCAAAGCCAGCGCGGCGGGGAGAGACGGGTACCCCCTAGGGCGCAGAAGGCGACCAGCGACCCGGCCCCCGCCGGCCGGCCGGCCGCAGCCACTTCCGCCGGAAGTCGGCCTGGCTACGGTCGTCGCGTGATGATGTCACGGGCCCGCCCGAAGTCTGGGAGCCCGCCCTGCAGGCGCAGGCGCAGTGTAGCTGGCGGTTGGCAGGTCCCGGCGGTGGGGTCGGCTTCGTGGGGCTCTCAGACTGCCCGGCTGGCGCAGGGGCGTCCGTCTCCCGGTCTGACCTGCTCCTCCCCTTTGTGTGTGGGGTCGCAGCCCCACCTCCACCCCGCCCTTGGCCCGGGCCCCCCCAGTGTCCCCCTTGAGCCTTCTGTCCCCCACCCCGGTTCCGGTCTCCGGGAAAAGCTCCGGCCAGGCCGATCCGCCGGGACCCTCGGATAGAGAGTAGCCTCGGGGAGGTCCTTTTATCGGGTCCCCAGAGTGGGCACCTCAGGGATGAGGTTAAATGTGGGAATCCAAGGCTTCGGCTGATTTCTTCCCAGTTAAGCTTTTTCTCCCGAAGTCTTATAACCCTGCACCCTGCGGGGTCTCAACCTCCCCCGACTTCCAAATTCTTTTCCACAGTGTATGCCCCCTGCCTCCTACCCTGTCTTATTATGTAAGTGTCCAATTGCTGTCTCTGCAGCCAGATCCAGCCTCCTGGAGGAACCATGTCTCCTGCAGCTCTGGGTGCCACCTGTTGTGCCAGGCGCACGCCGCTGCACAAGAAGGGGTGCCGTTTGAATGGTCTGTGAATGTTGGGAGGAGGAATGCCCGAGCTGCTGGCTGGAAATAACCCAAACGAAAGACATATGTAAGCCTGGGGACCCTGAATCGCCTCGTGAGAATTGCTGCTCTTTGTTTTCTCCGTCTTATCTCATGAGTAGTTTCTAGTTTGGTTCTCTCAATTGAAAGTCCGGCCCAGAATCATATCTGCTAAGGGTAGAAGTAACCATTTCCAGTTTCTTAATACGGGCCTGTGTGTTGACGCTAGTCCCCATGGGTGATCTCTGATTGTTGTGGTCACTGACCTGTAGGGATGCTTCTTAGGATAGGAAGCCTGATCCTGGACGTGGGCCCCTGACTCCCTCTAGGGGATGCTTATTTCAGTAGCATTGTCACCAGATCCTTTGGAGTACATTCTGTATCCATATCCGTGTGAATACTTATATCTAAGAAAGTAGAAGAATGATTTGTTGCTAGGGGGTGGAAGGTGGGTGTATTTTGTGTATTATTCCCCACTTTATTTTGAAATTTGCAGGCAGGCGATGCCCCAAAGCAGACCGCAGTGGTTTGATTAGGAAACTCTTGAAGCATCGAGAGAAAGAGCTCAGGACCATCTGGGATGCCCCACTGAGAAGCAGTGTGTACTTGAGGGCAGATAAATTGTTTTGGGAGCCATTTAGGGAGCTGATGTCTGAGAAAATGCGCCAGGGAATACATCCCTCAGTAGTAGCCACACTCTTTCTGTTCCTTTGTAGCCCCAGGATGGACTTTCTGGTTCTTTTCGTGTTCTACCTGACTTTGGTGCTCATCAGTGGTGTTATGATCTGCGTCTGCTCGAAAACCGGTTACTTGAAAGGCCCGGTCAGGAGAGGAACACAGGTAACAAGGATGCTTGGAGACCACTGGATTTTGAATACCACCAGCCTAAAAGGCTCACCGGTTTCCTGACAACAAAACAGAGACACCGTTATTGTTCATTTGTTCACTTGCTCTTTGATTTATGGCAGTAGTGGTATATTTGAAAGTCACTCTCTGTTCTTTATTGTTGTTACTGTTTCAAATGACCTTGTGATGATGCTTTGAGAGAAGGTAGCATTCTCAAGGTTGGCTCTTTTTCTCTGGATTTGATACCTGTCGTTGGGCATGAATGTGAGCAATGTCTTCCTGGAGGGGCCTGATGAGTGAAACTGGGGGATGTGTGAGCAGAAAGCTGACCATCAGGCTGCCCACGCTCCTTCTCAGGGATCATAGTGAGCCAAATTAGGGTGAGCAGCCTCGGGAAGGGGTTGACTTGTGAGGGATCTGGGCTAATGCCCAGTGATCTGGAGGTGACTCTGGAACCTGGGACTGAGCTCAAGGCAGGGAAAGGAAGGGTGTTCACATTAGCATTGCCTGATCCATCCCCTCTGCTCGTCTCCCTTTGCCTGGAGACTCTGACCTGGTGCCTTCTTTGGGGTCAGGGTGGAAATGGAGGAGTTGGCATCAAAGTAAGGCCTCCTCTTTATTCTCTCCCAAATCTCTTCTCTGCCCATATGCAGAAACACAACTTACCATCACCAATATTGCCAGCTGAAAGTGAAGCATCGAATTTGTTTGGGAGTGGGGTGAATGAGAAATGAAACTGAATCTTTCTCTTTTCTTTTGTTTCAGATATTTTCCTATATAATTCCAGAATGCCTGCAGAGAGCCATGCTAAGATTGCATCATTACCTCTTCCATACACAGTATTTATATTTCAGAGTTTCAATATGACTTTCTTTTCTGTTTTGATTGTCAATTGTTGCTATCCTCTAGCATCGGGAAGCTCCTCATGGTTTCCAGCGTGGTACAGGGCAGGATGTTGGAAAGGATCAGGAGTCCTGCCTGGGTTTAAAACCCCTTGTTCATAGATAACCTACCTTTTATCTCTGGGGTCTTGGCGTGTCTACTTTTAAATATAAATATTTAGAGAGTGGGAAAATATTGACATGCATTTCTGTAAAAGAAATATATTCTGATACTGAGACCTCAATTCCCAACAAAGATGATAATAATAATAGATAACATTTATTGAGCACTTAATGTATGCTAGGCACTTTGCGAAATGCGTCACGTGGTTTCTTCTGGAATTCTTACTATTATCTCAATCCTGAAGGAAGTGGTTGACCCTTGGTTAACTTTCCTTAGTGTTGTATGATTTCTTCATGGAGAGGCCCCCGTGAGCAAGCCACGTATCTGTTTCCTTTCAGAAACCGCACCTTCATTCTCCTGCACCTCACCTTGCAAGGGATGGTTTATGCTGAGTACACCTGGGAAATATTTGGCTACTGTCAACAGCTGGAGTTCTCCTTATATTACCTTCTTCTGCCCTATCTGTTGCTGATTGTAAACCTGGTTTTTTTCACCTTAAGTAGTGTAACCAACCCTGGTAAGTTGAGGCTCTCAGGACAGACTGGTGACAGCTCAGATGTCACTCTTGCTGATAGTGCCTCCAACAAGTCGTGCTCCCTCTAAGGGCTTTGCAAAAGATTTGCTATGTAACCTTTTCATGATTTTTCAGTTTTGACTGTTTTCTAATTTTTTCCTTCTCGGACCCATGGGTTATTTAGAACAGTTTAAAATTTTCCATATAAATTTTTTAGTTTGATTTTTTGATACTTTCACTTAATTGTGTTATATAGTGAGCTTGTGGTCTGTAAGATACTGTTTCTTTTAGAAATTTTATTGACATTTGCATTATGCGTGGGTGTTTGGTCAGTTTTTGTAAGTGAGCCATGTGTGCTTGAAAAGAATGTGTATTTTCTAGTTCTTGGATACAGAGAACAATGTAAATATGTTAGATCAAGTTTGTTAATTATGTTCAAATCTTTTATATTCACACTAATTTTTTTGTTTGATCGATTAGTGAGAGAGGTGTGGTATCTCATTCTGCTGGTAGACTAGACAGATTTCTCCTTTTAGTTAGTTTTTGTTTCACATACTTTGAAATTACTATATGTGTGTGTACATATTAGTTATATATATTCTTATTACATGCGTTCAAGTTTAGAATTAATATTATCTCTTGAATCTTTTTTTAAACTACACTGAGTCTCTTTGTCACTGGTAATATTCTTTGCTCTCAAGTCTCTTTTTTTTTTTTTTTTTTTTTGAGGAAGATTAGCCCTGAGCTAACTACTGCCAGTCCTCCTCTTTTTGCTGAGGAAGCCTGGCCCTGAGCTAACATCCATGCCCATCTTCCTCTATTTTATATGTGGGACGCCTACCACAGCACGGCGTGCCAAGCGGTGCCATGTCCACACCCGGGATGCAAACCGGCGAACCCTGGGCCGCCGAGAAGCAGAACATGCGCACTTAACTGCTGCGCCACTGGGCCGGCCCCTTCTCAAGTCTCTTTTGTCTGATATTAATATTATTACGCTATCTTTCTTTTGGTTGATATTTGCTTGGTATTTTTTTCCATCCTTTTACTTTGAACTTTTTCTGCCCTTGAAGCACCAAATGTCCATGGAGTGATCAGTAAATAAATAGAATGTGGTTTACCTGTATGATGGAATATCATTCAGCAATAAAAAGGAATCAAGTACTTATGCATGCGACAACATGGATGAACTTTGAAAACATTATGCTTAGTGAAAGAAGCCAGCCACACAAGATCACATTTTGTATAATTCCATTTACACAAAGTATCCAGAAAATGCAAGTCCACAGAGACAGAAAGTAGATTAGGGGTTGCCAGGGGCTGGGGATTAGACAGAAATGGGGAGTGACTGCTAAAGGAATTCTTTTTGGGGTGATGAAAATGTTCTAAAATTGGTTGTCACGATGGTTGCACAACCCTGTGAATATACTAAAATAGCCATTGAATTTACGTTTTAAATGGGTTTATGAGTTGTCTCTCTTGTATGAATTGTTAAAGATGATAAAATGAATTATTGACGATATCAAATACACCAGTTTCAGTTGTGCAGTGTCAGGACAGATTTTGTGAACATCCAGTGCTCCCTATTGCTGGAAACTGATGTTGGTCCTTCGTTTTTTCAGGTACCGTAACAAAAGCGAATGAGTTACTGTTGCTTCCAGTTTATGAATTTGATGAGGTGTTGTTCCCAAAGAACATGAGGTGTTCTACTTGTGGTTTAAGGAAACCTGCGCGCTCCAAGCACTGCGGTGAGTGTGGCTGCTCAGGCTCCAGCGCCTCGCAGCAGACGTGGGCTTCGTCTGTAAGGGAGTGTGACGGAAATCTGAAGACAGGGCCGTCTGACCCCAGACAGGGGCGGCCACTGCTGGTAGTGGCTGGAGAGTCGTTTTTTTCGGGACATGTGGTCTTATGGGCAACCCTCAGCCCTGGGCCTGACAGCCCTTCCTTTGCCAAGTGGCAGGGCATATGGCCCAAGAGATGTTTTCTGCAGGATATTGTGTTTGCAGATTTCAGTCCTGGCAGAGCCTGTTCTTCTGGGGAGTGGCCAAGACTATAGACTAGCGCTGTCCAACAAAAATATAATGTGAGCCACATATATGATTATAAATTTTCTAGTAGCCACACTGCAAAAGTACAAAGAAATAGGTGAAATTAATTTCAATGGTATATTTTATTCAACCTATCTAAAATACCTTTTTTCTTTTTTTGGTGAGGAAGATTGGCCCTGAGCTAGGTCTGTGCCCATCTTCCTCTATTTTGTATGTGGGACACCACCACAGCAGGGCTTGATGAGTGGTGTGTAGGTCTGTGTCCAGGATCCAAACCTGTGAACCCTGGGCCACTGAAGCAGAGTACACAAACTTAACCACTATGCCACTGGCCCCTAAAATGCCATTTTAACGTGTAATCAATATAAAAAAGTCCTTCATGGGATTCTCTTTTTCATACTAAGCCTTTTGGAATTTGCTGTGTATTTTACATTTACAGCACATCTCAATCCATACACTAAGTTTTCATCAGAAGTACTTGATCTGGGGCTGGCCCGGTGGTGCAGCAGTTAAGTTCGGCAAGTTCTGCTTCTCAGTGGCCCAGGGTTCGCCGGTTCAGATCCCGGGTGTGGACATAGCAGTGCTTGGCAAGCCATGCTGTGGTAGGCGTCCCACATATAAAGTAGAGGCAGATGGGCATGGATGTTAGCTCAGGGCCAGTCTTCCTCGGCAAAAAGAGGAGGATTGGTGGTAGTTAGCTCAGGGCTAATCTTACTCAAAAAAAAAAAAAAAAAAAAACAGAAGTACTTGATCTGTATTTAGGTTTCATAAAATTTACAGTTGGAAGAGCAGATTCATGTACCCAAGCTATTCCAGACATTCTCAAAAGTTTTCTAGCAACTGAATCAATACCAAAAAATCATTTTCCTTTAATATCCACATTGACATTCATATAATGGTTCATCTTTATCAGAAGGGTTGATTTGACTTTTAAGCAAAAGTAATGTTTTAAAACTGTCCAAGTTAAGTAAATTCACCAACTCTTATGTCATCTCAGTGTTATTCACATTGAACTCAAAAGATCCTTGCACAAATTGGAAAACAACTGTAAATTTATCAATATCAACAAAGTATTCTTTCAAGGCTGTCAAGTGCTCAGTACCCACATATGGCTCGGGGCTACTGCATTAGACGCTGCAGTTCTGAAAGCTTGGTGACAGCAGCTGCCATTTACCTCGGCTCATACTGCCAGTGGCCAGTTTGTAAACCTCTCAGGAGGTGTGCATGGTGTCATTGTGTGATCGAGGACTGACCCAGGGCTGTGGCTCTCCCATTTCTGTGCAGCTGTGTGTAACCGGTGTGTGCACCGTTTTGACCATCACTGTGTTTGGATGAACAATTGCATCGGGGCCTGGAATGCCAGGTACTTCCTCATCTACCTCTTGACGTTGACGGCCTCTGCTGTCACCATGGCCGTTGTGAGCGCTGTGTTTCTGGTCCGGTTGGTGGTGGTGTCGGGCTTGTACCAGGAGACTTACGTTGATGACCTTGGACACTTACAAGTTATGGACACCATCTTTCTCATTCAGGTAATTAATTATTCAGGTAATTATGTTGTGGGCTGTGTGCTTCTAACTTTGGGTTTCAGAATTAGAAAAAGGATATTGGTTTTCCCAGTAAAAACATGAAGCCATTCCTTTTTCAAAGATTGATATGGAATTTTTTGAATTGATAAATAATTCACATACCATAAAATTCACCCTTTTGAAGTGTACAATTCAGTGGCTTTAGTTTATTCACAGGGTTGTGTAACCATCACCACTAATTTCAAAACATTTCATCATCCCCAAAAGAAACCCATACCTATCAGCAATCACTCCCCATTCCCTTCTGCCTTAGACCCTGGCAACCACTCATCTACTTTCTGTCTCTATGGATTTGCCTTTTCTGGGCGTTTCATATGAATTGAATTATACAGTGTGTGGCCTTTTCACTGAGCATAAAGTTTTCAAGGTTCATCCATCTTGTAGCATGAATCAGTACTTCATTCCTTTTTTTTTTTTTTTTGGTGAGGAAGATTGGCCCTGAGCTGACATCTGTTGCCAGTCTTCCTCTTTTTGCTTGAGGAAGATTGTCCCTGAACTAACATCTGTGCCAGTCTTCTTCTATTTTGTACATGGGGCACCACCACAGCATGGCTTCATGAGCGGTGTGTAGGTCTGACCCTGCAAACCCTGGGCCACTGAAGCAGAGTGTGCCAAACGTTTAACCACTGTGCCACGGGGCCGCCCCCAGCAGCTTATTTTTTAATTGGATTGTCTTTTATTCTTGTGTTGTAAGACTTCCTTTTATATTTTGGACACTTGATCCTTCTCAGATATATGATTTTCAAATGTTTTCTGACATCCTGTGAGTTGTCCTTTCATTTTTTTGGTGGTTTTTTGTTGAAACACAAAATTTTTTATTTTGATGTTCAGTTTATTTTTTCTTTTGTTGCTTGTGCTTTAGTGTCATATATAAGAAACCATTGAGTAATCCAAGGTCATGAAAATTTACACTTACATATTCTTCTAAGTGTTTTATATTTTTAGCCTTTACATTTAGGTCTTTGATCTTTTTTAGTTTTGAGGAAGATTATCCCTGAGCTAACATCTGCTACCAATCCTCCTCTTTTTGCTGAGGAAGACTGGCCCTGAGCTAACATCCATGCCCATCTTCCTCTACTTTATATGTGGGACGCCTACCACAGCATGGCGTGCCAAGGGGTGCCATGTCCACACCTGGGATCCAAACTGGCGAACCCTGGGCCACCAAAGTGGAACGTGTGCACTCAACTGCTGCACCACCAGGCTGGCCCCTAATCTTTTTGAGTTAATTTTTATATATGGTGTGAGGTAACGTTCCAGCTTTAGTAGGTGGATATCCAGTTGTCCCAGCGCCATTTGTTGAAAAGACTATTGTTTGCTCATTGAATTGTTTTGGCACCCTTGTCAAAAATTAATTTACCGTAATGTAAGGGTCGAAGCCATTCTTTTAAAAACTCATTTGATGGCTAAAAGATTTCTGCTTCATTTATGAGAAATAGCTTATGAACAGTTATTTTTTTAGGTAACTGCTTAATTCTCCTTGAGTGTTTTCTTCCTTTTTGTTTCAAAGAAAATAAAATGTCATGAGCAAGTGGGGTGTATTCCGTGAATGCAAGGTTGGTTCATTATTAGGAAATAGATTAATATTTTATACAGCATTATTCAATGTAAGGAATAAGACATAATTATTTCTCTAGAAGCTGAGAAGCCTTTCACAGTATTCAGCATCCATTCCAATAAAGGCATTCAGAAAATAGGAATTAAATGATATTGTCTTATTATGATAAAATACACACATAGCCCCAAAGCCAGAATATTTTTTAAAAATTCATCTTTTGAAACAATTATAGATTTACAGGCAGTCACAAAGAAATAGACAGGAGTTCCAGGCACTCCTAAGCCCTCCCCATGCCAGCCTCCCTGTCCCACTACACACAGTGCCGAAACGAAGGAATCGACGTGGGCACCATCCGCAGAGCTGATTCTGATTGCACTAGTTGTATATGCGTCCGTTTGTGTTTTGTGTGTATGTGTTTGTACAGCTCTGTGCAATCTGTCACATGTGTAGCCTTGTGTAGCCACCCCTACAGTCCAGATGCTCTGCTGTCCGCCAGAGACTCCCTTGTGTTACCCCTTATAGCCACAGCCTCCTCCACATCCTTCACGTCTGGCCACCACTCATCTGTTCTCCATCTCTATTATGGCATTTCACCATTGGTACATAAATTGAATCAGGCAGTCTATTTTTGAGATTTTTTTTTCACTCGGCATAATTTCCTTGAGATCCATCCAAGTTTTTACTCATATTAGTAGTTCTTTTTTGATTGCTGTATAATATTCCATGGTACGGAGGGACTGCAGTGTTTTAACCCTCCACCCTTTGAAGGACGTTGAGTGGTTTCCAATTTTTGTCTATGATGAATGAGACTGCTGCGAACATTTGTTTACTAGTTCCTGCATGAAAATAAGTCTTCAGTGTCATTGTTGGGTGGAAGTCCATTTTAGGTTTCGAAAAGGACTCCTGTACTATTTTCCAGAGCAGTTACACCATTTTACATTCTGCCAGCGACGGCCCGAGGGAGGTGGTCTGGTTTCTCTGCCTCCTTGCTAGCATTTACTCTTATCCCTGGTTTTCCTTTTAGCCGTTCTGATAGGTGCGTAGTGACGCCTCATTGTTGTTTTAACCTTGAGTAGTTTTTATTCTTAAATTTTTTTCCAATTATGTAAATTTCCAAACATACTGAAAAGTTGAAAGAGTAACAAAGTGACTACCCATATACCTTCCACTTAGATTTAAACATTGTTAGTGTTTTCATCTGTTTTCTTTCTGTGTGTATGTATTTTTCTGTGTTAGTAGAAACAAGTTGGAGATAATGTGTTGCTTTACCCTTAAATACCTGAGCATGCATCTTTTAAGAATGTCAACATTCTCCATAACTACAGTTCTGTTATCCCACCTAAGAAAAGCAATAATAAATGTATGTACTATCAAGTCCATATTCAAATTTCCCCATCGTTTCAAATATATCTTTTATAGCTCTTGTACCTTCTTGAACTGGAAAACACCTTATAGTTATGCATTGCATTTGAATGTTACGGCTTTTTAGTCTCTTTGAGTCTCAAATCACACCCCTACTTTTTTCCATGAAATTACCATGTAGTAGTCTAGTTGGCTCTTAGAATGTCTCCTGTTCTAGATGTGTCTTTTTCCTAATTGCGTCATTTAATTTTTCTCTATTTCTTTATAGTAGTGTAAACTGGAGGTTAGTTCTAGAGCCTTGATTAGATTCAGGTTAAATATTTTTGGCAAAAATGCTTCCTCGGTGGGGATGTGTATTTCATACTGTGTCCCATTAGGTGGGATATAGGATCAGCGAAGCCCGGGTTGATCCATTGGTTAAGGTGGTGACCATTGGTAAGTGCATTTTCCCCTTTGCAATGGCTAATCTGTATATATGGTTATGTTTTTGTATTTAGAACTTTCTTTAGGCTCGATTCCAAAAAATATAAATACTGGGTCAAAAATTATCAACATTTCTAAGTCTTTTGATATTCATGTATATTATCAAAGTGCTTTCTCAAACTCGTGCATAGAGCAATGTGTAAGTGTTCATTTCATTGCATCAGGGCAGGCTTGATGCTGCTTGGGGTGGGAAAATATGGTGTACCCCCCTCTTTTTTTTTTTAAATACTGATTTAATTACGTGTGCTATTTTTTTTAAGATTTTATTATTTTTATTTTTTATTTTTCCTTCTTCTCCCCAAAGCCCCCCAGTACATAGTTGTGTATTTCAGTTGTGGGTCCTTCTAGTTGTGGCATGTGGGACACCGCCTCAGCATGGCCTGATGAGCGGTGCCATGTCCGCACCTAGGATCTGAACCCGTGAAACCCTGGGCCACCGCAGCAGAGTGCATGAACTTAACCACTCGGCCACGGGGCCGGCCCCCTGTTGTACCCTTTTAAAAAACTATATTTCTTTCATTACTTTTGATTACTTTCCTTGTCTGTCAGTCATTTGTATATCTTTGTTTGTGAATTATGTCCTTTAACTGTTGACCTCTTTGATATTAGAAAAACTTTTGATTTTAGTTCTTTACATGATAGTGATAGTTCATTCTTACTGTATTTTTCTATTTTTAATCTTTTTTTGTGTGTAAAAGGTTAGACATTCTTCCTCATCAAATCTCTTTTCTTTGTAACTTCAGTTAGAAAGTCTCCCCTATCAAGAATTTTGATAAGTATCTACTTCTCTTTTCTCCTGACTTTCAGAAATTCTTCGTTTTGCTTATTATAAAAAAGAACTTATAAAAAGTCGAGCAGTCCAGAGTGTTTAAAAAGAAAGGGGGGAGGGGAAATAAATGAAGGGGGTCAAAGGATACGAAGTTCCAGTTGAAAGATGACTAAGTTCTGGTGAGTGTCATCTACAGCACGGTGATGGTAGCTCCCGATGCTCTATTTTGTATTCGAAAGTTGCTTAGAGAGTGGCTCTTAGAAGTTCTCACCCCCCCACACACACACATAAATTGTAACTATGTAAAGTGATAGATGTGTTAACTAATCTTACTGTGGCCTTTTCACTATATCAGGTCATTACATTGTGCACCTTAGACTTCCACCATGCTATGTGGCAATTATATCTCAATAAAGCTGGGGAAGAGAAGAAAATTTAAAACAAAACACCTTGGAAGAAAAAATAAAATAAAATGCAAACTGGGAGTTATACCCCTCCGCTCCCAACAGTTTGACTCCCCGGAGGCAGCCACTTTTGTAGTCGGGCGTGTTGATCTCAGGCTTTCTCCTCTGTGTGTTCACACGGCTGTACACTTTCGCAGAGACAGTTCTGTTTTTGTACAAGTAGGATGCCCTTGTGATCCCTGCATCTTCTCTTTCTCATTGGGCAATATATTACCAACATCTGTTCCAAATCAGTACGTAGAAATTGACCTCCTTTTTAATCGCTCCGTGTTATTCCATAGTATGACTGTCCCAGAGTTTGCCTCTTCTTTGTGGATGGACATTTAACTTGTTTCTTCTGGGACGCAGGGCTGTTAAAATCAGTGCTACAGTGAATACCCTTGGGCATGTATTCCTGTGACTGTGGTTTTAAGGGAGAGAATGCTCCCTTCTCTCCATCGGGACTTTCTTTTCTTTTCTTCTTTTTTTTTTTTTGAGGAAGATTAGGCCTGAGCTAACATCTGCCAATCCTCCTCTTTTTGCTGAGGAAGACTGGCTCTGAGCTAACATCCATGCCCATCCTCCTCTACTTTATATGTGGGACGCCTACCACAGCATGGCTTGCTAAGCGGTGCCATGTCCACACCCGGGATGCAAACCAGTGAACCCTGGGCCACTGAAGCAGAACGTGCGCACTTAACTGCTGCGCCACCGGGCTGGCCCTGAGACTTTATTTTCATGCAAGAACTAAGATCTACATTTCTTTCTTTATTTTACATGTAGCTGACTGGCAGAGCACCATCTCCTGAGTATCCTTTCCCTTTTCACTTCATTTTTCTCCTATGAAACCACCGTACATCCTAGCACTTCTCCTGGGCTGTTTGTTGTGCCGTTGATGGTTCTGATGTGTGTCCAGTGAGTCAGATGTGTATGGAGGTGGGACCGGGGAGGCACCTCTGTCGCGGTTGTGGATGGTGGGTGCTGAGCGTTGCTTGCGTCACAGCCTGGCTGCCTAATGTGCTGCTTCTTCTGTGTCCCCAGTACCTGTACCTGACCTTTCCACGGATTGTCTTCATGCTGGGCTTTGTCATGATGCTGAGCCTCCTCCTGGGGGGCTACCTGTGCTTTGTGCTGTACCTGACCGCCACCAACCAGACCACTAATGAGTGGTACAGAGGTCACCAGGGCTGCTGCCCCCATGTGGCCCGGCCCCCATCTGCACATCCCCAGGTCTACCAGAACATTCATTCCCACGGGCTTTGGAGCAACCTTCGAGAGATCTTTCTACCTGCTGCTGTGCATTATGGGGGAAAGAAGAAATAAGAGTGGGAAGCGTTACTTCCTTTTAAATATGGCAGTTTATTTATACATATAGATACTTTCTAAGTATTGGGTTCTGTCTGTTTTTTTCTGGTGTCTGCCTTGTGTTTATAAATCAGCCTTCAGTGGGTAAGGAAGAGAAGGGAAAACTAATGTTTACCGAGTGCCTAATCCTTGCCTGGTGCCATGCCAGGTCCCGGGGTGGGGTAGAAATACCCCTTGCTCATCTTTCGTCACTCTGCCTGTTGGACGGAGCATCTCTGAAATTCTGGTGTCAAGGGGATCAAAGATGACTTCTCAGAGGTTCCAGTTGACCTTGGTCTCCCACTTTAGGCTCCTGGACAGGAGGGACCTTATGGGTGTGTCCCCTGATGTGCAGGAGAGTCTCAGTGACTTGAAGTTGTGCCTGGTTGCAACCCCTCAGATGCCCTTCCCATCTCTCTCAGGGAAAGCCCTTGGGTTTTATTTTAGTCTCCTTAACCAGGCCCAGCATCCTCACCCAGGCCTGCCCTCAGGCCAGCATGGGCCTTTTACACAAGGCACATCCCCTACTTGTGGGTTCCCGCCCTCCACTGGCCTCTGGCTATATTCAAGTCTTTTCGATCCTAGTTTTAAAATCCCAGACTAACCACCCGGTTAATTCAGCGCAGAGAGATCAGTGTGGGAAGGGAGATTCATAGAAAGTGCGGAGGGTTTTTAGGATGGGAGAGCCTTTAAGAGCAGGAGATCTAAGATTCCCACGGCCCTCCCCGGCTAGGCCAAGCCACTCTGGAGGGGGTTGGGGTATAGGGACTCGGGACGGGCACTGGGAGTCAGGGGTAGAGGAGCATCATTTATCATTGCAGCCCCTGAGTTCAGACCGGACATGACCTTTAAAATAAATTGCTGAGGCCTGAGCCCGGGCCCTGCACCACCGCCCTATCGTTACTGGTGGGAAAGCACGGGGGGAAATCAAACGAGTAGGCTCCGAACGCCGCGCAAAGGAAGCCCGCGGAGCTCGGGCACGTCTTGCGGCGGGTGGGGGAGCGCGAGACCCGGCGAGCGTTCAATCGCGGGTGTGGCCCCCAGCGGGCGGCCCTGCCAGCTTGGCCGCAGGTCCGAGGGCGGGCGCGGGGCGGGGGGGGGCGGGGCCGGCGGGGGCGGGGCCGGCGGGCCGAGCCGCCAGGGGGCGCCCTCCCGAGAGCCGGCCCGGCCGCGGCCTGCGCTTGGCCCCTGCGGGCCGCCGTCGCCGCGCTCGGCGTTCCGCGCCGTTCGGCCCCGCGGCGTCGGGCTCGCGCGGCGCTCGCTGGCCCCGCAGTCGCACGGCTGGGGCGCCCGCTGGTCGGGGCGGCGGCGATGGCCTCCTGAGCGGGCCCGAGCGCGGGCGGGCGCCGCGGCCCAGGCCCGGGGCGGCGGGCGGAGGCCGGGTCGTGGCCTCTTTGTCTCCAGCGCGGCGGGCGCGTCCGCGGGGCTCGGGGCGGAAGTCCCGACGCGCTCCCGGGGCCCCGGGACGCCGCAGCCGCGCCATGAGCGACATCCGCCACTCGCTGCTGCGCCGCGACGCGCTCAGCGCCGCCAAGGAGGTGCTGTACCACCTGGACATCTACTTCAGCAGCCAGCTGCAGAGCGCGCCGCTGCCCATCGTGGACAAGGGCCCCGTGGAGCTGCTCGAGGAGTTCGTGTTCCAGGTGCCCAAGGAGCGCGGCGCGCAGCCCAAGGTGCGGCGCGGCCCCGGGGAGCCCGTGCCCTCCCTGCCCTCCCCTCCCCGACGGGTCTCTGCCCCGCCACCGCGCCCCGGCGCCCGGGCAGCAGCCAGACGCCCCCTGCTCCCGAGTCCTGAGCGTGGCCCCCGCTGAGAGCCTGTTCTTTGGGCGTGTGACAGCCTTGTCTCAAGGGGCTTCAAGGAAGAGGCTTTGCGGACTGCCCACGAGCCGCACTAAAGGCCTGTTTCGGAGAGTCTTGCAGCTGTGAGGTCATCCTGAGTCCCCCAGGATGATGTCTGATGAAGTCTGATGACATTTCCTGAGGTTAACAGGAGACTGCTACCCCCTGGCGCCTGGGCTTTACAGGGGTGGAAAGTTCCCCGGGGACGATAGTGTATTTTTGGGTTTTTGTTTTTGTTTTACTGTATGAATTAATACACGTGTTAAAGCCAAATTTTTTGTTGCTTCTCCTGGGTTTGTTTTACAGAGATTGAATTCACTTCAGGAGCTCCAACTTCTTGAAATCATGTGCAATTATTTCCAGGAGCAAACCAAGGACTCTGTACGGCAGATTATTTTCTCCTCCCTTTTCAGTCCCCAAGGGAACAAAGCCGATGACAGCCGGATGAACTTGTTGGGGAAACTGGTCTCCATGGCGGTGGCAGTGTGCCGGATCCCGGTGCTGGAGTGCGCGGCCTCCTGGCTCCAGGTACTTGTCTAGAAACAGCCTGAGGTCTCTGAAGAGTTGTTTACTGTCAGGAATTTCCATTTAATTGGATTTTGGGAGAGGTCTTTTCCACATGTGTTATCTCCTTGATCGTCACGATCCTGTGTGCTGATGTCCCAGTCCTGTTTTTACATACAAGTAGTAACCATTCTGGAGAAAATAGTTTGGAATGGTAGATGAATTTTAAAAAGAAAAACAGAAGTGTCTCCATCTGCAGAACAAGTGAAAAATCCTTAAGGGAAAAGGATAAGGTAGGATTTTGAAAACAGGTATGCATGCAGCCTCACAGGTAGGATTTTTTTTAAAAAGATCGTTATGTGTCAGATGGTAGTAATGTTTGTCTGTTTTATATACAGTTAGGTTAACAGGCATGTGAATTGTTGTGCATTGTTCCAAGTGACGTTGCAAAGTTGATGACTCTTCTGATGTATATGAACATAAAAGCCTTCTAGAGTGTCTTTAAATTGAAAGAAAAAAATGTATGTTTATAATAGATTTCACAGTAGATGGTATTTTGGAAGATCCATTTTGTTTTACCTTTTTTTTTTTTGATGAGGAAGATTGGCCCTGAGCTAACATCTGTGCCAGTCTTCCTCTCCTTGGTATGTGTGTCCCCACCCCAGCAAGGCTTGCTGACCAGTATAGGTCTGTGCCTGGGATCCGAACCCCAGGCCACCAAAACGGAGCACACGAACTTAACCACTATGCCACTGGGCTGGTCCCTGTTTTACTTTTTTGTTGCTCAAAGTCTTTGAAAAATTGATAATTCACTTTGAGTAATCAGTAACTCAAAATTTTGATTAATCTGATCCTTAGCTAAGCTTACAAGATTTGCTACATTCAGTTTCACAAACCTGCTTCATTCCCAAATACAATCTTTTTTCTTTTCAATTTAATCAAATATTTTTCTTGTAATCTTGTTTATCCTTGAAATTTGGTTAACAGAGATATTGTTCTTTGTAGCACATAGGTAAACCTCAGTGGAGTCTGTAGCTTAATTCTTACCAGTCCGATTTCTGGGTCATCTGAGTTGAACACGTGTGTTATATTTAACCTCAGGATTACCTCTATCCCTTGACAAGCTAATGAAGTCAAGTTTAGCATCCTCTAATTCATAATATAATTTTCCGCTTGTCGCTTGTGATGCGGCTGTGCTGGCGAAATGAGCAGATGTCCGCGACAGGAAAGGGTCTTCGTGGTCTGGGTCCGGCTTGGCCACACTGCGGCGTGCGGCTGCAGCTTCCGCCTGAGGAAAGGTAGAGATGGCGGTTTAGTGTCATGGGGGCACATTGCAGCCTGAGTGAACAATGTGGCCTCCTGTCTCCTTGCGGTTTCCCCTGCAGGCCGCCTTGGGGCCGTGGAACCATAGCATCCTGAGCAGCTATTGAATGTGGCGGTGGCTACAGATTGGCATCTGAGTGGGAAGGAAAAAGGCAGGGATGGTGGTGACGTAAGATTCGAAGGAATTAAAGAAACCTGTGATAGGAAACCTGTAAGAGGATGGGATTGTAAGAGAAATGGAGAAAGTACTGTTCTAAATCACGTCGTAGTTCACACACTCTCCCAAATCTCTTCTAAGTGGTAGCAACTGTTAATTTTTACCTTAAGAGTCTCACCTGTAGGGTCAGAGGAGTTGTCATTTCCTCACCTGAAGTCAGAAGTGATCTTTCCTAAGTAAACTTCAAAGCCTTTTATGTAAAGGGCGAGATAGTAAATATTTTAGGCTCTGCGGGTCAGATAGCCCCTGTCACAACTACTCAGTTCTGCCCTTGTAGTTCGAGAGCAGCCCCGGACAACAGGCACACACATGAGCAGGGCCGTGTTTCAATAAAACTTTATTTACAAAAACAGCTGGCAGGGTGGATTTGGGCTCTGGGCTTTAGTTTGCCAACCCCTGCTTCAAAGTGAGCTGGGAGCCTCTTTCTCCTTTCTTGGAAGTGGTTCTGCCAGTTCTGGTGGTCCATAGATGCTGGTCTCCTAGCTCACGATTCCTGTAGTGAAGCAGACTGTGGCTTCTTTCCAGCGGACGCCTGTGGTCTACTGTGTGAGGTTAGCCAGGGCCCTCGTGGATGACTACTGCTGTCTGGTGCCGGGATCCGTTCAGACGCTGAAGCAGATATTCAGTGCCAGCCCTCGCTTCTGCTGCCAGTTCATTACTTCCGTCACTGCGCTCTACGACCTGTCGTCAGGTAAGCTGTAAACAGATTGCTGCCGATAAAGAAGGTTCAGCTGATTGCCGGTGTTATTTCCACTGAACACCCGGGTGAACTGTCCGGTGAAGGCTTTGGCCTCTTTTGCTCACAGGGAGCCTTCCTTGGTGGTTCTTAGTTGCTTGACTCAGAATGGTCCAAGTGGCAGACAGCCCCAAAACTAGGGTCTGATGGCAGAGAGATGTGGCTTTCTCCCTACATGTGACTTGCTTTTTCACCCCTCGCTTTTTTTTTTTTTTAAAGATTTTTTTTTTTTCCTTTTTCTCCCCAAAGGCTCCCGGTACATAGTTGTATATTCTTTGTTGTGGGTCCTTCTAGTTGTGGCATGTGGGACGCTGCCTCAGCGTGGTTTGATGAGCAGTGCCATGTCTGCGCCCAGGATTCGAACCAACGAAACACTGGGCCGCCTGCAGCGGAGCGCGCGAACTTAACCACTCGGCCACGGGGCCAGCCCCCACCCCTCACTTTTTATTTTGAAAAATTTTGAAGTGTCAGGAAAGTTGCAAGAATATGACAACAAGCATTCACGTACCTCTTGCCTAGATTCACCAGTTATGAACATTTGCCATGTATTCTCTCTCTCTCCCTCGCTTCTTTCTCTTTCTCTCCCTTTCTCTCCACACACACACACTTGCAGATATTTCTTTTCTGAACTATTGAAAGTTTGTTGCCAGTATCATGTACCAGCCACTTAAGCATTTATCTCCTAAGAACAAGAACATTTCCTTACTTGACCGTGATACCGTCATCACATCCACGAAATTAAATAGTGACAATACTGTGATCTCGTCAATGGCCTGTGTTCAGAGTTGCCTGGTTGTCTCAATAATGTCTATTATAGCTTTTTTTTACTCCTCCCTTTAGGGGATCAGGAGAATTCAGGATCCAATCAGGGGTCATACGTTTACATAGTTGTTGTATCACTTCGTTTTTTTGAAATCTGGAACAATTCTCAGCTTTTAAAAAGATTTCTTATCGCATTAACGTTTTAAAGAGCTCGGGCCTGTTGTTTTGCAGAATGTCCCTTGATTTGGTTTGTCTGATTGTTTCTTTATGAGCAGATTCGAGTTAAACGTTTTTGGCAACACTAGTACTCGGTAGGGTGTGTCCTTCTGGGTATGTCATGCTGGGAGACACGTGTCAGTTCTGCTGGTGATGTTTTTGAGACTTTCTGAACGAGATGCCAGGAGAGGTCGTCTGGGTGGCCATCAGATGGTATTTGACTTCAGTTGGGAGAAGCCCAGGTCCCTTGTCCCTGTCCAGCAGCAGTCTTCTGGTCACATCATTTTACGCAGACCGTCAATAAAGGGAACCAGTAGAAGTTGACCGGCTCTGGTTGAACTCGGGCAGGAGTCTCAGGCCCCATGTGGGCTCTTCTGCTCACTTTCCTCCCCCATGGGTGGGTTCCAAGGAACACGGATCGACCAGCAGGCCTTTACGCTGCACTGAGTCCTTCCACATCTGTGTCCTGGGTGACCCCCACAGCCTGCGTGGGCCCTGGGTGGGGGCTGTGGCCCTTGTCTTCCACATGGGGACGTCAGAGCCTTGTCAGGTGAACAGCTTTCTCTGCAGAACCAGACCCAAAGCCCGCTTTTCTGTTTCAGGTTCCTCCTCCTCTGCCCTCGGCTCTTGCCGCTCAGAGGGCTGACCAACAGTCTCCTTCTTATCCTGGTCTGAGAGCTAAGCCAGCAGCTCCGGGACCTGTGACCACATTGTCCGTTTTTGTTCAGTGCAGAATTGGTCTCCCGCCTGCACCCTGATTGCACTTGATTCTCCTTTGATTTGTAACTTTTTTTTCTTGCTGTTAGACTTTTTCGTTCTCTAGAGAAGGTTAGTGTGGACACAGTGGGATGTTCAAGTGCATGTCATGTTCACTCGCTGACTTATGGCTTCTTCCAGGGTGAGTGCCCCTGGGGTGGGAGGCAGGTCTGTCGAGCCGTGCCCGCTGCCGGAGTGGACTTCTCCCTGGCCCCCTGCTGCAGATTCTTCTGAGAGCTGTTAACACCGGGGCACAGTATTCAGCCTGTTGTTTCCAAAAGGAAAGGCTCATTTAAACCTAGTTTACAGCATCCTAGTTACCCTCCAGGTCATCAGTTATCCCAGGTCAAACAGGACAGAAATTGGCCTTAACGTTGGGAATGAGGTAATTAACATACAGAGAAAGAAAGAAAGTTCAGAGTGTCCACTAACATTCTAGAATGGATATGAGATATGGGATTTTCCTCTTAAGCCAGTTTGTCAGTCTGATACGTCGGTGATTTTTTTTTTCAACCACTTTATTGAGGTGTGATCGGCAGACAAAAAGCTGTACGTATTTGATGTCGGCGACTTGATGAGTTGGGAGATGCGGAGGTCACCGGGCATGCAGTGGTGGCCCTACAGGGCTGGGCCCACGGTCGGCTGTCAGAGTGGTGATGGAGGCTGCTCTTGGGCGCTTCTGGTAACAGGAGCGCATTCCTGGGGTGTCTGCCTTCAAAGCCACAAAGAGGAAGAAGCTGGCCTATCAAACAGAATGTCCTCTTGCCCGAATGGTGCAGAGAACTCTGGGTAGGAAGGTCATAGGGATTATTTGCTCTCAAGCACACACACTCACGTGTACACACAGGGCACGTGTGCACACACTGCCTTCAGCTGGGGGAGGGGAAGGGATGCCACAGGAGTGGGCGTCAGACTGGCACTTCCCAGACAGAAACATCACGGGGGGTCAAGGGGCTGGACGCGGGGTTGCCTGGTGTTTATTTTGCCAAGTAAGGATCATAGACAGCTGCTACCTCCTGCTGCCGTCATTTCATAACAGAAGGGAGGAGGCAGTGGTTTAACACCGAAACAGCAGGTCGGCGTAATCTCAGGGGAAGAGGCCCGTGTCTCCTGAGAAAGAGCAGCTGAGACCACACACCCACGTGTGTCTGCCTCACCCCATGCTCTCCTTCCTCTTGCGTGGTTGGCTGTTGGAACTCAGAGCCTGGCAGGGGCTCTGTCGTCCTTAGCTCTTCCGTGAGCTGAGGGGGCACAGCCCCAGAAATAGGAGCGGGGACCCGCTCCCCTGTACAGCCAGCCAAAGGGCATCACATGCTGATCCCAGGATGGGCAGTATAGCCTGGTGGTTAGGAGCCAGGCCCCCTGGGGTCAGATCTGAGCCCCTCATGTGCTTCTGATGAGTCCTGGGGAAATTACTTAACGTCTCTGTGCCTCAGTTTCCTCTGGGGTTGTTTGAGGATTAAACCTGTTAATCTGTGTAAAGGGGTTAGACCAGTGCCTGGAATACAGTAAGCCCAAAATAAACATCAGCGTTTGTTTTTATTATTATTGTTCTCTGTCTAGGCCGTAGAACATGCCAGTTCTCAGGGATCACGGGAGGTCAGGCCGTTGCTTAGACAAGGGTTCCACGTTTGGGGCTGGACCATGGGTGGGACACTAAATGCAGGAATGAAACCTACTCACAGGGAAAGGATGACTATGGTGATACTTTTGGACATAAAATGTGTGGAATTTTATTTAAATAGACACACAGGATGAACTTTCTTCACAACCTAACGGAGTTCTGGGGAATTGTTGATTTAACAAATAGTCAGTCCTGTGTCACTTAACGATGGGGCTGTGTTCTGAGAAATGTGTCGCTAGGCGATTTCGTTGTTGTGCAAACATTGTAGAGTACGCTTATGCAAACCTAGATGGGATAGCCTGCGACAGACACGCCCAGGCTCTCAGGTGCTAATCTCATGGAAGCACTGTCATCCATGTGGTCCATCAATGACCAAAACATCTTTATGTGGCACGTGACTATTTCCTGAGCCCTACGTTGGCCAGACAGTCCTGCCACCAGGGGTAAATATTGAATAAGACAAGAGTCCCGGCCCTTGTGGAGGGGATGTTCTAGGAAAGGAGATAGGGAATAGATGAGCAAAGAAGTCCGTAGCCTGAAAGCCAGAAGGGGAGTCTTCTCAACTTAGGGGTCCGCTCCCCTCCATCTACCCCTGTCCCTGGGGCTGGAAAGCCTCCTGACCTGACACCTCTGTTTGCAGATGATCTCATCCCACCGCTGGACTTGCTCGAAATGATTGTCAACTGGATTTTTGAGGACCCACGGTTGATTCTCATCACTTTTTTAAATACCCCAATTGCAGCCAACCTCCCGATAGGATTTTTAGAGCTCACCCCGCTCACTGGATTGATCCGCTGGTGCGTGAAGGCCCCTCTGGCTTACAAAAGGAGGAAGAAGCCCCCGTTATCCAACGGCCACGTCACCTCCAAAGTGAGCCAGGACTCGGGGGAGGCGGACAGAGACTCCCACCTCCTGTACTCGAAGCTGCATCTCAGCGTCCTGCAGGTTCTCATGATGCTGCAGGTCCACCTGACCGAGAAGAACCTGTACGGCCGCCTGGGGCTGATCCTGTTTGACCACATGGTCCCGCTGGTGGAGGAGATCAACAGACTGGCGGATGAACTGAACCCCCTCAACGCCTCCCAGGAGATCGAGCTCTCTCTGGACCGGCTGGCACAGGCTTTGCAGGTGGCCATGGCCTCTGGGGCCTTACTGTGCACGAGAGGTGGGTGATTTCCTGGCCCGAGCCTTCCTGGGGGCGGGAGGAAAGTAGGGGCTCCTGAGCAGGTACTGTTTTCTGTTTCTTCCAGGCTTCTTTCCTCTTAGTGAACACAGGGAAGAGGGTAGAGGCGCGCAACGCATCCGGGCAGAGTGCTGTGACCATGGCGTCTGCGTGCCTCCTGGCCGTCGTCCCAGCACTGGGCTCCTCCAGAGCGTGGATAGTGGCTTAATATCTTCCTCTTGGGGAATCTTTTTTTTCTTTTTTTGAAGTCCTTTTTTATTGAGGTGTAACTTCCATACAGTAAAATGCACAGGTTTAAGTGCAAAGTTTGATGAGTTTTGACCAATGTAACCACTGCCCAGTCAAGGCATAAAACGTTCCCGTCACCAGTTTTGAGGGCTCCTTAATTCTGCATTTCAGAACTTGAACTCGTCCAGGAGAACGGTCTGATGCTGACGACATGCTTGTGTTGGCTTTGTAACTGTTGGCTCACTGGGGTTGCCAGTGTCCCCAGGCGGTGGTCACTGGTGGTGGGTTTCCCTCTTACCGCCGTGGACGTCTGATCTGCCCAGTGAGAGCCCTGCCTCTGGGCCCTTTCCCAGCCATCCTACAAACTGCCGACAGAGCTGCCCACATCCCTAAGTGGTGTCTTCTGTTTGGCGCCTACTTTGTTAAAACAAAAATAGGAGGAAGAACCCAGTTTCTAAATGATGCTGGGAAAACGTAGCGTAAGGCACTCTTACTGTCTTGCTAGCATCCTTGAAAAGAACGGCAGGGACATTTCACCTTGTTGTCTCCAGTCTGCTCCTTAATTCTGAGCCTCCTTTCTTTCAGATGACCTGAGAACCTTGTGCTCCAGGCTGCCCCATAATAAGTAAGTGCCTCTCAAGACTTCTCGCTGGGCGGGCGGTGTGTGGGATGTGAGGCAGGGTGGACCCCTTGTCCTGGCTTCTTTGGGGAGAGCTAGTCTGCAGGGTCTAGAGCTTCTGTATGTAAGGAGCCCCTTAGGGACCTGACGATAAGTAGGGGCAGATATGGCAGGGTAACCCGCATGAGAGGAAGCCCAAGTAGAGAGGGAAATCAAAGAGATGAAGTGGCCATCTTGCTTTTAAACTGAGTGTCATTTATAGCTCACTAAAGTGGCACACCTATGTTTGGTGGGGACGTTGGTGCACACACACTGTTGGTGACGCTGTGAATGGCACAGCCCTTTGGGAAATGCTGCAGAGCCGCGGCCCTAGGGCACAGCGTGTCAGTTATGGCAGCACTTTGGCATCGGGTGGCACAGACTGGGTTCTGACTGCAGCTTTCTGGTTTTCTGTGACGCTTGGCCAGTCTCTTCGCCTGTCTCTGAGCCTCAGTTTCCCATGTAAAATGGGCGCAGTGATATTGGGTTGTGGTAAGGATTCAATGAGGAGGTGTTGGTAAATTTCTCAGCATGGTCCATGGCACGTGGGACTCTCCATAAATGGTGGTCACTCGCATGATTTTAGGGGAATAGTGATAATAATGGGGAAAAGCAGGAACTGTGTGGTGGCAAAGCTGCTGGTGAGAATTCCAGCCTTGCTCCTTCCTGTCTGTCTGAGCCTGGCGAGTTCCTCATCTCCCTCCGCCTCCATTTCCTCTGTAAAATGAGGAAGCAGTGTACCTGCCTCATGTCCCCCTGCCTCCCGCAACCCCTGGACCCCCTTAGGGTTTCTGTGGGGATTACACGAGTCAGGACACAGGAAGCACTTAGCACTTGGTATATACTAAGTATCTAACAAGGGTTAGCTGCTGTCACTCTTGCTGTTATTTTCATAACTTAGGAATTTCACTTCAGCCAATTAATTTCACTGAATCTAAGAAGCAAAAAGCTGTATGCACAAAAATGTTTCATGCAAATGCACTATCGTTAGTAGCAAGAAAACTGGAAGCAACTAACCGTCCCACAGCATGGGGATCCTTAGTCAGTCACTAGTGATGTCAGAAGGACGGAACCTTGTGTGTCCACCAGAAGTAGTCATTGGGGCCACGCTGTACGGACGTGTTTGTAATTGGAGGCGGACTCCCCTGCCCCCTGCAGTGTGCACAGGGACAGGGTTCACAGGGTGCAAACACCCCGGCGAAGCTGGTGGGGGATTCATGTTCCTTCTTCAGACGTCACTCTGGTCTTCAGCAGGGGTAGTGTGGCTCTAGGGCTGGCGTTGGCAGGCGGTGTGGACAGAGGGTGAGCGAGCCAGCCAGGCCCCACTGCACCGCGTGTGCTCACAGCCATGCCAGGGCCTGCGAGTCTGGGCAGGTGTGGCTGGGGCAGAAGTATGCGTCATTTGAGGCCAGAGGATCAGCCAGGTGCAAATTCACAGGCTGATGGCCAGCGCAGCTGTAGCCGGAGGCTGGCGTCCTCGAGCTGAGGTTGGGGCTCCGCGTCGAGCTCTCCGGGGGAAGCTTCCGTCAGGCGTCAGGGCAGATACAAGACCAGAAGGTGGAGTGGTTCCTGGTGAGACAAAGTGGTCCTGCTTGAGATACCATATCAACAGGACAGACAGCTCGTCCAGAGGGCCACATCCCTCAGGAGCCCACACTGTTCCTTTTCTTTCTTTCCTTTTTTTTTTTCTGGGCTCCAAGAAAATTCCCTGGCATCTGAGGACTTTGTTAGTGTAAGCTGGTGTCTTTCTTCCCCTCTGGCAGTAATCCCTTTGTAACATTTCCCTTCTTTGTGCACAGCTTTTATTTAATGTTTTCAGGGCATTAAAATAATGACAGGGTATGAATCCTTAATCGGCTCAGTATCATGACTAGGGGTCCCCTTGAGAATCCCTCTGGAGCTTCTTAACACCCCCGCCTGGGCTCCCTGGAGCCTGGGGCCGCCTCTCCTGAGGCCCCGTCTCAGAGCCCAGCCTCCCAGGGGCGGCCTGGCACTGACGTGGGGAGAGAGAGGACACGTCGTCACCTGGAACGCTGCTTTGATTTCTGATCGTCTCCTTTGTGTTGTCTTTCTGACTAGACCAGAAATTTCTTGAAACCCTTCTGTCCCTGGCAGGATGTACAGGTTCAAACAAACCTATGACCTAAATTTTGCCTCTATGATACTCCCTCCTTAGATTGATTTGTTGGCTTATTTTGATTGGATTTCTCACCCAGAGTTGTAAACAACGAGTAACGTAGGTGAAAAGAGGTTCAGAAGACCTTCGGGCCACTAAAAGGCACCCGCTTTCTTCACGCCCTCCGTTTACTGCCTGAGCCGCTCCTGGGGGCTCTGGATACCAGCCTTTGTCCTGGGGGGCCGGGGGGAGGGTCAGTCTGCAGAAGACCTTGCCCGTCCCTCCGAGCTCCAGGGAGTGGCCGACAGTAGGCAGGGCCCACCAGGGTGAAGTGGCCCGGGGTGGATTGTCACAGACGGGGAAGCTGAGGGGCGGATGGTGGGTGGGAGAGGACCTGGCAGCTGAGATTTGGTGATGTGGGAAGACAGGCATGGACACTCCACACTCAGGACCCAGCTGGAGCTACGGCCTTGGGGTGAGGCGCAGAGAGCAGAGGCAGTCTGTGTGCAGCAGAGGCTGCATGCGAGGGAGGAGGCCTCTGTGCTGGAGCACGGAGGGCTGAGCAGCGGCTCTGCTTGGGGCAGAGCTGGGGAGCTGGTTGTTCCAGGCTGACCGCAGGATGTGGACGGGCTGAGTCCCTGGAAAGCTAGAGGTGGTGAGGAAGTGAGGAAGCTCTGCTGCCCTCGCTGGAGGGGAGCGCGGAGCGAGAGAGGAGACTGATGCGGGGAGACTCGGCGAGGACTTCCAGAAGGAACCGCGTTGGAAATGGCATAGAGTTCAGGAGGGAAGGGGATTTCTGGGAGGAGGCTGTCCATGTCCCAAACCACGGAGGGGAGAACGCAGGCCGGAGAAGGCTCCTCAGGCTCGGGCGTCATGGGCTGCGCCGAGAGTGAAGGAGCGAGTGAGCCAGAGGGTCTGAAGCCCTTTGGGGGCTGGAGTGGAGGCTAGGGGCCCCTGAAGGTGGGCGGGGCTGGGCCGAGGCCTGGGCCATCTGAGGGTGGGGCCTGCACAGGCTCTCCCTCCAGGCTCTCTGGAAGGCCAGCTCTCAGGTGGCTTTGCCTGGAATCCAGTTAGGACTCAGTCGTTCAGGACGACAGAAAACCAGCCTGCTGTCCTGTTGGCAGTCACAACCCTCATGAGTGTAGACACTCGAGGCTGGCACAGCTGCTGACCTCCGTCCTGAGCTTCTGTAGACCGCAGGCCCGGGTGCAGCCCCTCCATCCTTGGGCACCTGCACTTCCCTCAGTCGCCTCCCTCTGCTTCGCCACCTGCAGGATCCTGGCTTTTCCCACTGCTAGCCCCTCCCCTCTTCTCTGCCCAGGGCCCAGTCTAGACCCTGCCACCCCTAGGCCACCTCCTGCTCCTCCCCAGATACGAGCTGGCAGTGTCCCCATCTGGAAACGTGCAGATTCTGTGCCTTCATCTGGTGCCTCTCCTAGGACCTGTGAGGGCTGCCATGGTGTCCAGGCCTTCTCCTTCTCCTCTCCTCTCCTCTCCCCGGTGGCGCCAAGCCACAAGGTGGACAGGGCCAGCCCCAGATCAGCACATCCTAATCCTTCTTCTTGTGTTTGCAGCCTGCTCCAGCTGGTGATCTCGGGCCCAGTGCAGCAGTCGCCACACACAGCGCTCCCCCCTGGCTTCTACCCTCACATCCACACGCCCCCGCTGGGCTACGGGGCCGTGCCGGCCCACCCGGCCGCCCACCCCGCCCTGCCCACACACCCCGGGCACACCTTCATCTCAGGCGTGGCGTTTCCCTTCAGGCCCATCCGCTAGGCCGGACCCCCGTGGCCCGCCAAGTGGCAGTGTGCCTTCTGCGCCCGGGTCGGAGGAAGCCTTCCAGGGAGAGGGTGGCCGACGCCATAGAAGAGGATCTCGGGGGGGCCGCCAGGCAGCCCCTCCGCACCGGCAGAACGGCTTGGTGCAGAAGTTCTGTGACGTCGTGGTCCAGGTACCTCCTACCTGGTCACATTCGTCAAAGTCCAGATTGGATAGATGAGAAGAAGATTGTGCAGCTCTCTGCAGAGTGACGTGGGCGTCTTTAAAAGATGCCAATTCTGTGAGCCTGTCGGCTCGTGTGTCTTTTCGGACACGCTCTGAGCCTGTGCTGTCCGTAACGAGGATGTGAGGAGCGGCATCTGCAAGTCCATTTGTCTGGCTTCCCTCCTTGTGGACGGGGTGTGTCCCTGCCATGAACACAGGCTCCTTTGCCAGCTCCGTGAGCTCGAAGCTGGCAGGCTGTGACCGCAGGCTTACACGCGGCGCCTGGCACTGTTGAAGGAAACCTGTGAGGACTTGCCGTCGCCAAGGAAAGAACTTCTCTGTTTTATTGGGGTCTCTCAATTTACTTTTCATATGTTCAAATAAATTTTTTCTAAACAGTTTCATAGACTTTATGGAATGTATTTTAAAAGCTTACTCCGTGTGAGCTGCGGTGGTCTCCTCCTCAGCCTGCAGTGATCATGGTAAGAAGATTGAACACAATTTTACCCACTCCTTTTGACAGAGACCCCACAGATGGCGTCCCCACCCTGTGCAGGCATCTGGGGTCTGTTTGCTTCAGGTACGCGTCTTTCTTCCCTCAGGGACAAAACACAGCCCTCAGGAGTTTCTTTTCTAGTTCACGATTGGAAGGTATGTGTTTTGAGTTCTCATTTACTAGTTTTGGCAGGAAAGAAAGATACCATAACCATGTCACTGGGCTCCCCCGGGCTGAAAGTGAGGAGTGAGCAATGGTTACAGCAAATAATGAGCGTCAGAGGACCACGGGTAACTCGCAGGGATGACATTTGGCCTTGTGGTTTGTTTACCCTTCTGTTGCTGACTGAAGGCCATGACCTGGAAGACTAGACCTAGCCAGATTGCCTAATAAATTCCTGTGTGCCTGTGTGTGTGTGTGTGTGTGTGTGTTTTCTGTCTGGAATTTAAGGCATCCCTCAAGATAGTGCAGTTGTGCTGTCAGGGCCATCCGTGGTTGGCGAGGACCTTGACCACATGTGCTTTCTCGGAGCCACGAGCCCGTGGCTTTCCTTGGGCCCCGAGTGCTCAGCCGGGCTCCACAGCCACAGCTGGCGTGTAGGAACTGGCCTGCAAAGGACGCCTATCGGGATGCTGTTTCAAAATTGCTTTTGAGAGCCATGGACTAGAAGGAAATGTCCTTTTCTCTGAGTTTGACTTCGTTGTCTTTGACTGATTGCGTTCCCCGCTTATGTGTGAATCTGCTGACGTCGGGTCAGGACCTGAAGTGAAATGCCCGCTTCCATCTTTTGGTGGGACACACGCGTGAGACTAAAGCGGTCAGCACGTGGCTGGTCCTTGGTATTTTTAACTCTGGTACCAAGTCTTCCTGAGAAGGGTGGAAAAGAAGCTCTCACGTTGCTTTGTAGTTCGAGAAGGTCTCTGAGCCTGGCCCTGTCTCGGAAGACAGCCTCTACCGTACCTGTCCAGGGGCTGGGTGTGTGTTAGCTCCTCTCCGACCCAAGGGGGTTTTTACCACAATAAACAAAGGAAAAGTGTAGGAAATAAAGCCACTAGACCCACAGACTTCCTTTGCTGGTGTTTTCAGCAGTGTGTGAGCAGTTATGTCAACCTACGAAAAACGATGTTCCTCCTGGTTTGTAATTATGTGCCAGGCACCTGCTAGGTATTTTACGTACATTAAAAATTGATATGTGAGAAAATATTTGCAACATATAAAACAAAGTATATCTATACCAAATGTATTAAAAACTACAGATTAATCAGAAGACGTTCCATAAAAAAAAAAAAGGGGTGAAGGAGGCCAGCCCTGTGGCCAAGTGGTTCAAGTTCTGTGCACTCTGCTTCAGTGGCCCGGGGCTCAGGGGTGCAGATCCTGTGTGTGGACCTGCTCCACTCAGCCATGCTGTGGCAGCATCCCACATACAAAATAGAGGAAGATTGGTGCATGTGTTAGCTCAGGGCGGACTTTCTCACACACACAAAACGGGTGAAGGACATGAAACAGCATATTCATAGAAGAGAAAATACAAATGGCCAACAAATGTGAAAAGATCCTAAAACTGGTAACCAGGGAAATATGACTTAAAATGAGATGCCATTTCTTCACTTACCCATCAGATTGGCAAAACAGAAAGCGTAGCTAAAGGTGTGGGGGAGCAATGATCACACTGTTTGTGGCAGAGAAAATCGCTTTAGCCACTGGAGAAATCAGAAGATAAAGTGAGCCCATGACCTAGCGATTCCAGCAGCTACAGATGTTTAAGGGTGTTTACAGCAGTATTGTTTGTTTTTTAAGTCATAGTTTTATTGAGAGAATTCACAAACCCAATTCCGTCATTTAAAGTGTACAAATCAGTGGTTTTCAGTATACTTACAGAGTTGTGCAACCATCATCACTATCCAGTTTAGGACATCTCATCATCCGCCAAAGACACCCCACATCCATCGGCAGTCACTGCCCCGTCTGCCCCCGGCCCCTGGCAACCCCTAGTCTACCTTCCATCTAGATGGATTTGCCCTTTGTGGACATTTCATATCAATGGAATCATACGGTATCTGGTCTTTTGTGACTGGCTTCCTTCACTTAGCATAGTGTGTTCAAGGTTCATCCATGTTGTTGCATGTTTCGGGACTTCATTACTTTTTATAGCCAAATAGTATTCCATTGTGTGGATGGACCACATTTTGTTCATCCATTCATTAGTTGGTGGATGTGTGGACCCTTTGGCTCTTATGAATATTGCTGCTATGAATATTTGTCTACAAGGCCTGTGTGGACATATGGCCTCAATTCTCTTGGAGATATATGTGTACACACACACACACACACACACACACACATCTATATGGAAATGGGGGGTGCAGTGTTTTTTTAATAAGGAAAATCCAGAAACATCTTCAACAGCCATCAAAGAGGACTGGCCGACTAGGAGTTGTAAACTCAGACATCCCTAGGGACCAGGCAGGTAATGTCAATGGATGAAGCTTCCAGAATCACACACAAGTGGGAACTGGGAACCGTGCTAAACCGGAGAACACCTGGAGCTGGTCATTGACATAGCTTGGCACTTGGGCCAAAGTGAATGTTGCCAGGACTTCTGAGTTTTCAAGAGAAGATGGAAATAGGATTTTTTTTGTGCTGTATTTTCTTAATTTAAAAAACCGCATTTGGAAACTAATCTGTGATGTTAGAAGCCAAGATAGTGGGGGAGGGTGGGTAAGGACTGGAAGAGGCTTCTTAGGTTACACAGGTATACACAGTTTGTGTAAATTCATGAAGTCGTACACCGATGTGTACTTTCCATATGCTATTACGCCTTAATAAAAAGTGCCTCCCTCGCCAAAGAAAAACCCCACAACACAGATTGGGCTAACCTTACCACCTTCATTAACCAGATCGGACTATAGACTTCCTGTTTTTACCCCGTGGGCTGCTGACGTGGAAAGATCCTTGAGAAATATTGCTAAGTGAAAACTTGCACAGCATTATGAAGAGTGTAATATCATGCATGTGAAAAACACAGGGTGGTACTACAACTTTCCCACGGGTATAAGTATATGTATGTAAATGTGTCAAAAAATGAGGTACACCAAACCAAGAGCAGTGGAAACCCCTGGGGAGGATACTGGAAATGGCGTAATGGCTGAAGGAGACCTTGCCTTATCTGTATAATTTTAAAGTTTCAATTTGGTTCTTAAATTTTTAATTAAAAATTTCAGAGTCACAGTGAGAGACTACAAGACTTGAATTAGCCCCCGACTAACGTAAGTAAGAGAAGCCCACTTTTGCAATATATTGCACCTACTTTACTTTTTTTATAAGGATGGTGTATTCATGTGTTACATGTCTAATTAAAAGTTAATTTTTTAAAAGTGCATTTTAGAGCTTCTATTTCTGGTAGTGATGGGCCAGATTCTTCAGACCAACCTTTGTGCTTTAACTAAAAATGCTGATAAAGTACAAAAATATCTGGAAGCAGTGAAGAGCCGACAAGGTTGGAAAGACCTTCCGGGTCAGATGACGGGATGGCAGCCAGAGGCGGGGAGGGTGCCCTCAAGCACTTTCGCCCTGAAGGCCTCAGGGAGTAAGGCTTCAAGGTGGGGCCTAATGGGAGACCCTGTCCATTTTGCTGGAACCCCAAGGGCTACACTCTCAGTAAGAACAGAAGACTACAGTGATGGTCGCTTGGCACTAAGCAGAGTTTGGGAAGAACCAAAGGAAAGTCTTGTTCGGAGAAGTGAGGGACAGGTTGGCTGCAGCCCAGTTAACAGCGCTGGTCACCGGAGGGAATCTCTCGCTATGACCTCAGTTTGTGGGGGTCCCTAGACTTGTAGTCCTTCCAGGTGCCCAGCAGGAGCAAACACACATCCTCTGGAGGAAAGTCATTCATCCTAGGCGTCAAAGAGGCCACAAATGATTGTTCAAGGACAAGGACCAGTGTGCCCTGAAAAATGAACGAGCCACTGTGAGCAGGAGCCAGCAGATGGCACCGACAGCAGAAACAGATTCAGAACCGTCAGGGTCGGACTATGAAACAGTCACGCTCATTGTTGAAAGGAATAAAAGGCAAGTGTGAAACTACAGGGAAGAGGAAATTAATGGATTACCTAGCAGATTTGAAAAAGAGCCAGATAGAACTTCTAAAAACGAAAAGTAGAATCATCTATTTAATTCAAAGGAGCCGGTGGGAATGCAAAATGGCCCTGTCCCTTTGGAAAGAAATTGGGCAATGTTTAGCAAATTACATATGCACTTGCCCTTTGACCACGGAACATACTAGGACTGTGCTAAAGATCCAATGGCAGAAATACAAAATAGTCCATGTAGGAGGGCTTTCATTGCAGCATTTTGTGTATTAGCAAAAGACTGGAACTTCCTAAAAGTCTGTCAACAACCATTTTATCCGCATGGTAGAGTATTTATTATGCCGCTGTTTAAAAAAAAAAAAAAAGATACTCATATTCTGCTATAGAGCAACGGTGAGGATTTATTGTTAAGTCAAAAGAAGAAAGCAGGTCCCAGAAAAGCATTTATAGTGTGCTATCTTTTGCATAAGAAAGGAAATGGGGGAACTAGAAATAAGGAAGGAATAAGGGAAAATCTAATAAAATAGTGGCCTGGGGGAAGGGAGGAAGAGCAGGGCGAAGCGGCAGGAACAGAGACGAGACTGCTGAATGAATGTACCTTGTTTTGTAGTTTTGACTTTGGGACCGTATAAATGTTTCACAGAACTAAGTCAGAAATGCAAAGCAAACTGAGACAAATGAAATTAACTTGGTATGCGAATTGCTAGCATACCCACCCTGAAAAATTTTCCAGTTACTTTAAAATACAGCATTTTCGTTGTACCTGTGCCTTCTTCAACTTATGAAATCGTGTTCAACATCAAGAACTTTTAAAAAT